AGATGAAGATTAAGGGGGAGAGACTGAGAGTGAGAGAGCGAGATACTGAATGAGAGTGAGAGAGATTGAGGGAGAGTTAGTGAGCCTGAGAATCAAATAATGACAGACACAGGGGGAGGCTGAGAGAGAAAGAGGAAAAGGAGAGAAATAGAGACAGGGGAGGATGAGAGATAGAGAGAGACTGACTGAGATAGATGTCGAGCGACTGAGAGAGAGAGAGAGAGAAAGACGGAGGAAGGGAGAGAGAGAGTAAGAGAGTCTGAGTGAGACAGGTAGAGATTTAGAGTGTAGGAAGGACTTGGACAGATTGACAGATATACATTCAGGGATCGAGAGTGGCGAAGATGAGAACTTGCGAGACACTGAGAGACGGAGAGAGAAAGTGAGAGAGAGAGATTGAGCGAGTTAGAGTGAGAGAGAGAGAGAGAGACTGAAAGAGAGAGGAAGAGGCAGGGATGGAAAGAGATAAATTGAGAGACTGGGGGAGAGATAAAGAGACTGAGAGCGTGAGAGAGACAGAGAGATATAGCGAGGATGAGAGACTGAGAAGGGGGAGATAGAGACTGCGACAGATAGAGTCCGAGAGAGAATAAGGGAAAGAGAGATAGAGTGAGAAACTGCGAATAAGAGTGTCTGAGGGCATGGGAAAGACAAGAGAGAGAGAGAGAGAGTGAGGGAGTAGGAGAGCGTCTGAGGTTGCGTGAGAAAAAGAGATTTAGAGAGACTTTGAAAGACAGAGAGAGAGGGGGGGATAGAGTCTGAGAGAGAGATATTGAGAGAGAGAGCGAGGGAGCGTAAAACTGAGAGAGTGATAGCGAGATAGAGAGAGAGAGCGAGCGAAACTGTGGGAAAGTGATACTGAAAGAGGTAGAGTTATACCGAGGGAGAGGAGGAGGGCAAGATAGAGAGAGATATCGCGAATGAGAGTGTGTAAATGAGAGATAGATAGAGAGGCAGTGAGAAAGAGAGAGAGAGATAAATTGACAGGGAGAGATACAGACTAAAAGGGCAAGCGGAAGAGCGACTGAGAGGGAGAGAGCGTGAGGGAGAATGACTCTGAATAAGAGAGAGATTGAAACGCAGAGAGAAACAGAGGGTGGGAGATTGAGAGATATCGACTTTGAGTGGAAGAGGCGGAGAGAGAGGGAGATTCAACGCGACGGAGAGAGACTGTGCGAGGGATAGTGAGACTGTGAGGGAGAATGAGAGGGACACATAGACATAGAGACTGAAAGTGAGAGAGAAATTGAGGAAGAGAGAGAGCGAGGGGGAGAGATATGCCGGGAGAGGAAGAGAAAGTGAGAGAGAGGCAGAGACAGTGATTTGAAGAGTGATAAATAGAGACTGAGGGAGAGATAGACAGGGAATGAGAGAGAAGAAGAGACTAAGAGAGATAGAGACTGACAGGAAAAGAGAGAGAGACTGATAGATATGGAGACCAAAGGAGAAAGAGAGATAGAGTGAGAGGGAGAGAGAGATAGAGACTAAGATCGAGAGATAGAGTCTGCGCGATAGCGTAAGAGATACTGTGGCAGGCGCGATAGAGTGAGAGAAAGTAAGAGAGATAGAGATAGTGAAACTGAGGTTGAGAGAGTGGGAGAGAGAGAGAATGAAATAGGGGAGTGAGAGAGTAAGATAGAGGGAGGGAGAGAGGGTGAGTGAGTGAGAGCGATTTAGAGAGACTGAGAGACGTATTGAGAGAGATATATATATATATATAAAGAAAGAGAATGAGAGGAAGGGGTAGAGACTGGGAGAGAGGGAGATAATGGACGAGAAAGAGCTAACCTGAATGAGACAGGTACTGAAAGAGACTGAGGGAGAGCGAGAGAGAGTCTGAGTGAGAGACGGAGCGAGAGCGACTGAGTGAGAGAGAGAGAGAGAGAGACAGTATGAGGGAGAGAGGTACCGCTAGAGACTGATTGAGATATAGTGACTGACAGAGAGAGAGAGAGAGGGATAGACTGAGAGGAAGTGAGTGGGGGACCGACAGATATAGAGACCAACAGAGAGAGACTAAAACTGACAGAGTGGGAGATTGAATGAGGTTGAGTGAATGAGAGAGATTTAGAGAGACTGAGAGAGAGAGATAGACGTATATATAGAGAGGGATGGACGGAGATAGATAGAGAAAGAAACGGAGAGGGAGATAGACAGATAGATACGTTGTGAGAGAGGAGGAGACTGAGAGAGAGAGAGAAATGCGGATAGAGAGACAGGAAGGGCGGGAGCTTGGGACACTGTGAGATAGAGAGACAGAGAGGGAGACTTTGAGTAAGAGAGAGGGACAGAGGTAGAGGCAGAGAGAGTCCGAGAGAGATGGGGAGCGAGGCAGGCGGAAAGGGAGTAAGAGAGAGACGGACGAACGCCCATAAGGCACAACAGGACGAGTGAATTCCATAAAAACTGTCGATGGGCGCTCCTCTAACTGCCACTTTAGCCTCAGGATGCGACGAAGACAACTGAGGTGGAAGTGGTTCAGACGACGTGCCTGCTTTGCGTACACTGTCCAAGTCTCCGCTCCATACAGCAGTGTCGGCAGGATGACGGCCTTGTACATCTTCAGCTTGGTGCTGAGCTGAAGACCGTGGCGATTCCAAACTGTGCTTTGAAGATGACCGAAGGCTTGACTGGCTTTTGAGATCCTGTTGGCGACTTCGTCGTCGATCTTGGTGTTGCGGGAGAGTGTACTGCCCAGGTACGGGAAGTTCTTTACCACTTGCAGTTGGGTTCCGTTCACGCTGATTTGCGGCGGCACGTTGGGGGCTGTGGCTGAGTCGGGTGGGGGTTGGTGCATCACCACCATCGGGCAGCTAAAACACACTATCCCACTCCCCCAACGGCACCCACACCTCCCAACACCATCAGTCACCACAAGCATCCAATTGCCCCCTCTCACTTAGGCGCGAAGTGTACTTCTCGGCTCCATCTCCATACGGCTGAATTAGTGGTCCGAGTGGCGTGGAAGACTGCTGGCTGACGCCCCACTTCAATCCACGCAGTCTGTCGAGTTGTGTGTGTTTATGTGGAGTGGTGGACTGGTAGGCTGAGGGCTGGGCCGTTACAGTCCCTTCTTAACCGATCGGTGACACTCTGACGCATGTGTGTGTGTGTTGTATGGATAGTGCCTCTCAGTATACGACTGTCTCTTTACCTAGCCTTGTGGGGTGAGGGTCTAGGCAAATGCAGAGCCATCTGCCACCCCTATGGGCCAAAGGCTCTGTAAGCGTCACCTATGCTTGAATTAGCAAACCATGCGCTGGCAGTTCCTGATGAAAGATGCGCTTGCCATCTCGCTTGGTATACAGGTCGCAAGCATGGCTGACCAGTCATTCCCCCTCCTCTGGCCCGTCGTGGTGCTGTTGTCAGTTAAGATGCCGGTCATTTGCTGTGTGGACCAGGATGTGGGGTGTTGAGAGTCAAGGTGCGAGTTCGGTCGCGCCATCCACCTGCGCCCTCCTCCGCCTCCGGTCTTACTGGCTTTGTCTTGACACCGGG